CAAATTGCGTGCGCCTCGAGGCACTTTTGGACAGAATTGCGCAGAGGCGCGCCTCTTATTGCGCAATTTTAAACAGAGCTGTTTTTTAATAAATTAGTTTTGCCAAGAAAATTAGAATATGTTCATATTTCTCTTTTTCATATCTACTTAAAATTGAAGTTTGCATGATATTAAATTGTGTTCATCATTCAATCTAATTTTGCAATTTTAAAATATTGAATTAGTTACTCAAATAAAGAAATTATATTGAATGCCTTCAATTTGAAAATTGTTGAATTTATCAATTATGTATGATTTTTCATAATATGCAACAATAAAAAACAACATCAAGCCTTTATCCCATGATGTTGGGTTGGCTATATGAATCTTTTTTCTCCATTGTATCCGGTTAATAGTCAAATTCTCATTTAAATCTAATTAAGAATGGTTATTTCTAATATTTTCTAACCAAGTCTTTTTAGGTCTACCTCTGCCTTTCTTAACATAAGTCAAATCTAGTACATCTACTATTCTAATCGGATCATTGGAAGGCTGCCGTTTAAAAACCATCTAAGGCGACTCTCTCTAATCTTATTTTCCATTAGAGCTACTCCAACATTTTCACGTATATGCTCATTTCATATCATGTCTCTACTAGTAAAACTACTATTCCACTTGAGCATCCTCATCTTTGCAACACTTAACTTAATATTATGTTTGTCTTTTTATTGCCATCATTCTGCACCATAAAGCATTATAGGTCTCACCACCTTCTTATACAATTTTCCCTTAAGTTTGAGGGGGACTTTTCTATCACACAACATGCCTGATGCATTCCTCCACTTCAACCATCCAACTTGAATTTTACTAATAATATCCCCTTATATTTCACCATCACTCTGAACAATAGACCCAAGATATCCTAAATGTGTACACTTATTAATTACTTGATCATCCAAAATCACAATCCCCCTACGGGATCTATTACTGCTAAAATTATACTCTAGTATTTAGTTGTAGATCTACTCAAACGAAAACCTTTAGACTTTATGGTTGACCTCCATAATTCAAGTTTACCTTCAACTCCCTCTCTAGTCTTTTCAACAAGAAGAATATCATTCGCAAAATGCATACACCAAGGTATAATCTCTTACAAATATCTAGTGAGAACATCCATGAATAAAGCAAAAAGATACGGGCTTAAGGCTGATCCTGATGTAATCCAATTGAAATAGGAAAATCCTTGGTCAAACCACCTTGTGTTTGAACACAAGTAACAGCTCCTGCATACTGTTACGACTGTAGGCCAAGGGAGATTGGACCGGCCGGTCTAGCAGGCTGTGGAGAGGGCAAAACCTGAAACCAAATCCAGGGAGATTTCGGCTTATCTTGTGGGGTCCAACAAAGTAATAAATCATTATGTTTGGAGAGTAATTAAGGAGGGAAAGATCTCCTATTTGAAGTTAAATAGGAGAGGGAAAATCATATGTAAAGAAGACTGATTTTGGGGCTAATTTGAAGGGTATTAATTACGAGATATTTTCTAATTAAAAAGGGAATACTTGGGGGCTAAATTGGTGGAGATTAATTAGGAGATATTTTCTAATTTAAGAGGGCTGATTTGAGGGCTAAATCGGAGGAGATTAATTAGGAGATATTTCCTAATTAAAAAGGGTTGATTTGTGGGCTGATTTGAGAGGAAATTGAGGGAGGGCATTTTGGATTTTATTGTTTTATTATTTTCTTTTAAGTAGTAGGATTTATATTATGTTTGTATGGAGAATTTGATTTGAGAGTGCTGTAGTTTTCTTTTTTTGAGGGATCCTAACGGCATCTTGGGTTCGGGAGAGAATGTCCTCACGAGAGGATCATTGTATCTTTCTTTGTTCGTATTTGATTTCTATCAATATAACAATTTTTTTGTGTTGAATCTATTGGAATTTGTTGTTGTTTTTAATACCAAGGTGCATCACATACATATCCTTAATGACTTGAATATAAGCATGTTAACCCCTTTATTTTCTAACACTTCTCTTGGAATTTTATCATATTCTTTCTCTAAATCAATAAATATCATATGTAGATCCTCCTTATTCTCTCTATACTTCTCCATGAAACCTCTCAATAAATGTATAGCTTCCATAGTAGACCTACCTTGCATGAATCCAAATTGATTTTGAGAAACATTAGTATTACATTGCAACCTATGCTCTACTCTCCCATAGTTTTAAAAGTATGGCACATTAACTTAATTCCTACATAATTCGCACAATCTTGTGCATCACTTTATTAGTAAAAATAGGAATTAGCACACTCATTCCTCACTCATCTGACATCTTTTTAGTCTTCAAAATAATATTAAAATGTTTATTAAGCAAAAAAATTCCTTCATCTCCTAGGCATTTCCACACCTCTATTGGAATATCATCAGGTCTAATAACTTTTCAATATTTCATTTTTGTAAAGCCTCTCTAACTTTGGTTTTACTAATACGCCGATAAAAAAAAATCTTTATTTTCAATATAGGGTGCAAATGTCACTAAGGTCAATCGTTTTCTCACAATCTTTATGAAAAGTTTAGCAAAATATGTCATCCACCTTTGTTGAATGTCCTCATCTAATAAAAACACTTGATTTATGGTGCTACCTATGGTTTGATCTGAAAAATAAAATGGACAACCTCTGATGGTGCTCCTATGGTTTGATCCGAAAAAGAAATTTGATAAGTTATGGTTTGATCTAAAAAAAAGAAATTTGATAATTTATGGTTTGTTTTTAATGAATGTTATAGAACAAGAAAATGTCAAATTATTGGAAAAATCAATTGCACATTTTTATGAACAAAGGGGTTATTTAGGATTATAGTAATGATAGTGGGAGACAAGCTTATGAATATACAATGGAGTTTTATGAGCGGATAACAAAATATATGCTTAAAAAATCTTATTGATATATGGAAGAAAACTTGATTTATGTCATGAGGATCTACTATGTTTTTATAGCTTTGTTAAAAAAGCATAAAATCGAGTATTACATGAATTGACTTATTGGGTATCAATGAAAAATATCTGTTAAATGTATTGAATTTATTAATGATACGCATGATGCACTAGTGATTAACATCATAAATAGTTTGAGTGGATTTGAATGTTAGTCAATAAAGATTTCATTCATTATTAAATTGTCTCTGATAAAAATGATAATGCTAAGATGGATAATGGCAAAATTAGTTAGATTGAAGCGAGAAATAATGATACTAAAATGACAGTATAATAATTCTTGTCGATATAATCTAGTAGAAAATAAAGGGTTGAAATGTATCAATAAGATTTTTTGAATTAATGTGAAGGGATTATGAAAGAAAATAGAAAAAGTTTAAGTAACATGGAGAGATGTTTTACAGAAGAGTCCAGGCTTGATGAAATTAACATCTTGTGTAGCACTTAAAATAAATGAATGGAGAATAAAGATTTATAATACTTATGCTGAATAGTTGTGATAAGGCTGATGTTCGTGATGATGATGGTGATGTTGAAGAGGCTTATAAATTGAGATTTAATATGGGCACCTTGATGTACTGATGTAGGACCACTTAGTAAAAGCAAGTACTTTAAAAGTAGGTGATACCGAAGGCATAGCAAGGCTTTATAATCAATGATTTAGTTACCTGCTGACGCACAAATGCAGTCAATCCACAGTGATTATAATTCACTCATCAACCGTGATTTAATGCAAATTTATGACTCCCTTCCACCATTGACCATATGACATGACAATTTTTTTGTGTTTTACTGAAAATTTCTTTGTCATTCTCTTCCTCTCATACGCTTAATTGCATAATCAATGACTCAAACTTGTTACCTACTGTGATATTATTATTTTTTGCATAATTTGGTGGAACGAACTACTTTAAAAATCTGGATTAGTAGAGAAAGTGCAAACAATGCTTTAAAGCTAAAGGTCTAGCTGCTTAATCCTTCAATGCGGTGAATCTACATCTCTTTTGACTTGATCGTCATTCATGGCCAAATGCTTATTCATAACTCAGTCATCCGTAATCAATTATAATATATTTTGCGTTTGTTTTATTTCCCTCTTCATAATCCTGTCATGCATGATATTTATGGAGTATTTTTTTATGTAGATGAGGTGTTAAGTCTTGTGAAAATAGCCATAGAAATCAAAGTATTAGTTAAATGGGATTTAGGAGTAGTCTAACAAATATTGATGTACATGCCATGCAATTGTTATGTATGAATTGATAGTTATCTGTTAATATCTACCAGACTGCAGATAGATTAACTATGCTATATGATTCATGTTTTAGGTAATAAAATGGTCATTGCAGTGAATTTGAGTGTGGTAACAAGTCAATGTTAACAATCTCTGTGATAAAATTAGAAAGCTTGTAGTGAATGGTTATTATAATATTTGGACAGTGGGAGCAACACCATTGAAAACAAACCAGTGGAAATAGACTTTAAAGTGATTTAGTATGCTAATTTTGAGGAAGAAGATACACCATAGGTGTGTAGGTAGCACTAATGTGAGATGCATAGGCTTGAAGAGTGATGGAACAACGGTAATAAGATTGGAATGTGTAAAATTACTCATAAAAAATAAAGTTAGCACTTAATTTAATGCTAAAAAATGAATTAAGGAGGATTTCGAAGAGAAAAAATTGAAAGGTTGGATGAGGTTGATGGTGATGATGACAAGAAAGAATTACTTATGATAACAAAAGTTGTGCAAAATAAATTAGTATATAAGTATAAAGAATCATCATACCATCTTCCTATGATTTTTAAAGTACATTCCTGTTTCAAGTTTTTTTTATTTATAATTAGGTTCTTGGATGCCATCATTTATGGCATTTTTTTTATGTCCCGTGTCCAATAATCTTACGTTTATTTAGCTAGATTCTTCTTCCAGGGACCTCCATTGTAGCGCCGCTGATTTATATTAAACCGCTTGCGTTGAGCTATAATATAAATGTATATCACATGATTGTGGAATTTCAGGTACCATTCAGAGTCTGGTTGGCAGGCTTTGATAGAAATAATTCTTGATCATTACGGTTTAGAAGTTGATCAAGCCGCTATAACCATTTTCATCTCCACCTTCCCTGTATTCATTGATGCTTCTGTCAAGTTATGGGTAAGTTACATACAGTTACCTGCACTATTCATACAGAGAATAAATGATATAATAGTTGTTTGTACTATATTTTTTAGAACCTTAGAGTTTGTTTGGGACAACTTTCTTACTGCAAGCAGCTTTTTAGTATAAAAATTTTAAGTTCAAAATGTATCATAAAACTGCTTTAAAAAGCAATAAGAAAGCTGTCCCAAATGAAGCATTGGGATGGCTTTTTTACTTCTTTCTAAAACTGTTTTATAGTATAAAATTTTCTATTCAAGAAATTTTTGTACTAGAAAAGCAAATTTAAAAAGCAATAAAAAAGTCGGAACAAAAACACCATTTAGCTTATCAACAAATAAATACTTAGCCATAAACCAAATCCATTTTTTTAAAATATTCAATACACATTCATGCGGAGAATAAATAAGATAATGTGTGTTGGTTCTATATTATCTCGAACTTCAAGTATTAGTGCATAAAACACCTTTTAGGTTTCATTTTGGACGGTTTTTACTGCTTCTTGAAGGAGCTTTCTAATACAAAAATTTTAATTTTTATGCTAAGAAGCTACTTCAAATAATAAAAAAGCAGTCCCAACGAAGTCTTAATTTATCAACAAATTAAAGCTTAGCCATAAGCCAAATCCATTTTTAAGATCTTTAATAAGAAGAATGACTTGCCTGACTTTTTATTTATTTCTTGGTTTTTGTAGCTGTTCAAGTTCCTGCCAAAATTATCTCCAAATGTTGCGAACATCTTTGAGGAAATGAAGCGTCATTAGAGAACCATTTCTCTGGGAGTCTGCATTCATGTTCTATGTAGTAATAACAAGATAAAAGGGAATTCTGATTAAATTTAAGTCAATTTGAGCTTCATATTCATCATATTTATTTATTTGTATTTTGAAGTGAGTGTAATATAAATTTTAATTGATTAAATATATATTGCATTTATTTCAAAATAAATTTAATGAGTATAAAATTTATAGGAACAAATTTTGGTAATAATATCAAGATCCCATTTATTTTCTGTATCAAGCTTATGTTTAATCTGTTATGATTTGAATTTGCTATGTTATCCTTCTTTTTTTTTTTAGAGATCTTCTAATTTTAGGTTTTTGTATTCTTAATTTGAGGCTTCACATGTGTGTAAATCTTTCTTGAACATCAGAGAGTATTCTTGAGTAAGACTTGTTTTGAGGTTCTGTAATAGTTTAATGTTGTGATGGCTTCTCGTAAAATTTTTTTTTTTTTGGTTTTAAATAAAGAAGCTTGGTTAAGCTCGAAAATGTTGGAGGATTGATTAAAAAATTACGATTTCATAATTTTTTATATGTCGCCGTACCTATCTTAAATGGTCAAGACATTTACACTTATCAAATGTTGGCTTGATTCACGTGAATCTTGGTGCATTTTTTAATCAGTAACTTTTGGAATCAAATTATGGACCATTTGTATTCTGATTTTAATATATTTGTAGTTGAATTAAATGACTTGATAAGATGAACTCATTGACCTCAAAAATAATTCGACTTGATCCCACTGAAGCTCAATTCAAGTATTTTAAGTGTAATTGAAAACTTTAGGTCCTTAATTTGATGATAAAATGATAATTAAATATATGATTAAAAAGATTAACATGAATCATTTGATAGAGTATTCCAATTTTTTTTTATAACCTCCATTTTTTACATGTTGGGGGACTTGGATCTTTGGCTTTAGATTCAAGTGTGATAAGAGGCTTTAAAAATCGAGGGGCTCCACCTAAGCACTATTGTCATACCAATGTCCTTAGATTGCTGCTTAACCACCTTTGTTGAACTAGAGCTCAATTGTTGCTATTGAACCATCTCTCGATCACCATCACTGGGCAACTGCTTTGTTACCCCCACCATCAGATGATCATAGCTAGACCACTATAAGATTGTCATTGTCGAACCACCACCATTACTACCATTTGATTACGGTCCTTTGATCACTATTGCCCAATTACAACTCTGACCATTATTGCCCCATTACAATCCTTTGTCCATTGATGTTCAATGATAGTACCCCAACTATAGTTCTTTGAACACTATTATTCAACCACAATCCTCCGACTATTATTGCATTGACTATAGTTTTCTTACCATTGCATTGACTATGGTCCTTCAATCACTATCACTTAACTACATTCTCTGATTACTTTGCCTGACTATGGTCCCATGTCCATTGTCATTTGATTAAGGTTATCTAACCTCCATCGCCCGACTACATTCCTCCAATTACCATCGCCTAATTATGATCCATTGAACTTCATCATCTGATTACGGTCCTTCGACTACAATAGCTCGTCTATCGTCCTTCAACTATCATCGCCTAATAATGCTTGTTAGAACATCATCACTTGATGATGGCTCTCTAAATATTATTGTTAAGTTGTGCTCCCCCTACCTCATTTGCCCAACTATATTCCTTTGACCACAATTGCTCAACTACTATCTTTCAAATAAGCTCACTCGACTATAGTCCTCTAAATATAATTTCTCGACTATGATCCTTTGATCAATGTTGGCTGACTATGGTTCTCTGACTATCATCGCCCGACTACAACACTCCAACCTTTGTTGTCTGTTTATGATCTTCAAACAATCATTGCCTAACTATTATCGAACCTCAATTATTTGATTATGATCCTTCAACCATTGCCGCCCAATTACAGTCCTCGAACCACTATCGCTCAACTATAGTCCTTAAGCTATCATCGCTCGACTATTGTCCTTTGATTATTTTTTTCCTCAATATAGTCCTCTAACCATCATTGCCTAACTATGATTCTACAATCTATATTGGTTAATTGTAATATTCCAATCATCTGTATCTAACAATGGTCCTTCAACCATCTTCACCTGACAATGTTCTTATGGCCACCATTGCGTGACTATGTTCTTATGACCACCATCACCTAACTATGATTCTTTGAAAATTGTCACCCAAATATGGTCCCTTGATCTATAGTCCTTTGACCACTATCTCCTAACTACGGCCCCTAACATAATTTTCTTTGTTCTTTTTTGCTTGGTTACATCAAGCTTTGCTGCCTTCACCTACAGTCACTAAAAAACAATGCATACCATCACTTATAAAGTCGATGCACACCATTTTCACCAACTTTGACTCTGGACATCAGGACCAAGATTTATGTTAGAATTTTTGGTCTTTGATCTCCCTTTCTCAAAGGTGATCAACCAAATAAACAAGAAAATGATATCTTAAATAAAAATCTCATGCAACTAGGTTCTTCCAATTTTCGCCATGTGGTATGCTTATTACATTGCATCAATCGCTTGCATTGTTGAATGTGTTATTTGTAATCAATGACAAGCATTAGTGGAATCATTTCAACTGGTCTAAGCCCTGTGATTTTTCCCTTTATGGGGTTTCCATGTAAAATAATCTTATATCTTTTGCAACTCTTCTTTTATATATGTGTTTTGGATCTCTGTACAATTCTAGGATAATAAACTCTTAGGATCTACCATGATGAATGGCTTGGCACACAAAAAATACCTTTGACCTAAGAAATTTTGTTAGCAACCATAAATTATATAATCCTCATGAACTATTTTAGTTATAGGGTGAAAATTTTAACTTAAAGGCAAATTTTATGAAGTATATTAGCTCATAAGAGGCTTTATTATTATTGGGCCATTTTAATCATTCAATAATATATGTTAGTAAATTTGACTATATATACCTCATATTATAAGTAATTGGAAAAATATCTTTAATATTTATTTTATTGGAGAAGCATACTTGAAATTTTATTTTGAAGAAAGACTCTAATTTTTATTCAAGAATTACTTTTTGAAGCTCATTAGATCTGCATGTGCAAGGAGAAGATGTTGGAAAATAAATCTATAGACCATCACGTGTGAGGAGAAAGTTTGTTAGGGGAAGTTTCACAAGATTGCATGAGTGTGAAGAGAATATTTTGCTAGGGAAGGCATTGTAGGATTCATGTGCGCGAAGGGGAGAGAGGTTCCTGATGGTAAGGCATTATTGACTAGATCATATAAGGAGAAGAGGTCACATGGGAAGGAATCATGGGATTGATGATATATTTTGAGCATTGCTAATTTTTATGCAGCTCTTGTGATATCTTGTAATTCTTTTTGAGTTGTATCTTGGGCTTTTGTGTTCGTAATCATGCATTATAATTAATGAATTGGGCTATGCCCTTGCATACAAGCTTAGCTTGAATAGGTAAATACTCCACTCGATTCAACTCGACTCATTTATGTAACACCTCCTAATTCAGTATTCAACTCAACATGTTTTTGACCCAATTAAAAGGAGGAAATTGCTTGAACCTCTCCAATTCCTTATGTGTTTGGGAATGATGTGTGTATGAAAAAGATCTACATATATTTTGAAATGGGATATAGGAGTCTAAATGCATATTGGTGAAATCTAAAAATTTTACCCCAAGAGTGCCTAGGTGTTAGATGTTCTAGCGTCTTGGGGCTGTGCTGTCAAGGTTGAAACAGTGATGCCTAGGTGTTGGGCTGAATTCTGTACTTAAAATATCCTTTTCCAGTCAAATTCTTTTCATTTGATCATCTGGCAGCCGAATTGGAGAGAGAGAAAGATGGATTTTAGAGGGGAAAGAAGAGGATTTGAGCCGCTCTGGGGCAGTTTTAGTTGTCGGTCCAGTTCTAAAAATTATCTGGATCGAGATGTCACACTATGATTCTCAATTTCAAAATTATGATTTTTTTTTATTAAATTTATATTTTGGTTACAAAAAATTAGTATAGCTTTGTATTGGTAAAACTTTCACTGCAAATTTTTTATATGTTATAAATATTAAGAATATAAATATTTTGAATATATTTTAGAAATTTTATAAGTGAATGGAAAATAATTCAGACTCTAAAAAAATAATATTGTAGTACAATTAAAGTCTTAAAATATTATTAAACATAATATGTGATAATTTAGTTATGTTTTGAAAATATGAATTTATATTCATTAGTGTGTTCTATTGTTTACTGTTATGGTAAGTTGGAAAATTTTGTATTGAGTTTTTTTTATGCTTTAATAGTTAAATTGAAATAAATATGTTATATTGATTGAATTAAGTGAGTTTTGATATGAAAAATATCCGATCGGTAATATAAAGGGCTAGATAATATGATATAATTGATTGAATTGATTGTAATGCTTTCATAACTCTGCTCCGTACAATGAATCTGTATATTGCATTTAATAATTTTAGAAAATATTTAATTCAATAAATATTTATAAATTTGGATTAGCCCTTGTGGCCTATTTAGCTATTTTAGCTCACTGTGATTTTGCATTATATATTAAGGGAAGGATCCAATTGAGTATTTGTTTAGAATCTGATCTAAGTTTGTATAGGTATTCTTCTTTAATTTTGTACAATTATTACTAGCTTTCATTATATTTTGAAGGCCTGCAAATGAACCAAGCCGAGTTGAGTATGTGCTTGCTTATTATTAGCTTATTCAAGCTTGGTTCGTGCTCGATTTGAGCTTATTTGTTTGCGTTCAAGCTTAGTTTATTTAAAAAATAGATGTTCATGATCAGTTCATTTATGCTTATTGAGCTTTAAATAAATGAGCTTTATCGAGCTTAATAACAAACAATCACCTAGAGCCTGCTCATGAACATATATATGGAGTGTTTTTAGCATACCAAATGATCCATTTCACGATCAAACATTCTCATAAAATGATTTTTCTTAAAAATAAAAACAAGTTTGTTCATGAACACTTTAAACAAAAAAAAAGTAAACATGAATAAATATTTTCTGGTGTCATTTACTTTACTGTTTTTTCGTTTTCGCACTTTATAGTTCAGTTTTAAAAACTCTGTGGTTGAAAAACATATTTCTACAAAATTTAAAAGAAATTTTATTTCGGTTCAAAAAATTTTTCTAAAGGGGACTTAAATTTTTTAAACTACCAATTCACCCCCCCCTCTTGGTAGCCTTGAGACATTCACTTAGGCTTAACAACCTAATTAC